CGTTCGGCCTTCGAAACTTGTGCCCAGGGAGAAGGTAGCACACCGCGACTACGACGTTGCCCATGCGTGCGTGCCCTAGCAGAGGGACAACATTATTTGAAGCAGTCGCGCCCTGTGCGCACTCGCTCTGCTTCACGTAGGTGTTCAAAGGGAGTGGTTTCCATTCGTTTCGGCGTAATGATCCATTCGCCTCCTGGCGTGCTCTCGCTAGACCTCCCCGTCATTGTGGCCTCAGTGGATGTGAGCTGCAAGCCGTCACGTCCCAAGTCAGACTTCACCCCCTGTAGGCGGTGTTCTCTCTGATGAGTCTACGTGAACCCAATGATATCGCACTGCTTTGCCTGCTCGCGCATGAAGGACCTCGCCACTGGGCCCCACTCTGACATATTGCTGCAGAATAGCTTTGAGCTCGAATAGGCCGCACTCGATGGTGCAGGGGAATCGTCAGCGCCAATGCTGCTACCCACGCTGAGCAGCAGAACCAGAACCTGAAGCAGACGATGAAAAACCTTTACCGCATGCCTTGGCATGGTTCGCGATCCGCTTTCGCTCCGACTACAATGCCGCTGCTCGGAGTTCTTCGCCTCCCCCCGATGATCCTCGGTCGATGGGTCGAGCTCCGTGGTGCCACCTGTACCCACTGCTGCTTGTCCTTGTTCGCCCGTGCGCTGTCTCTTCGTCGCGCCCGAACGGATGTCCTTGACCTTCGTGAACTGCTCATGCACTGCCTGCTGGATGGCCGCCACCTGGTCGCACTTCTCCTTGATAGTGGCCTCCAGCGCCCCTAGGACCCTCTGCTCCTCCTTGTCGAACGAGCCAATGTCCTGGAAGAGTGTGTCGTCCACCGCGAACACCACGCGCTTCCCGTCGGCCGTGTAGCCCTGCGGGACATGCTTGATGTTGGCCTCCGCCGCCACTCGAGCCACCGCGTCCGCATGCTCCTTGTTGGCTCTGGCGTGCTCCAATGCCGCACGCTTCGTGGCCTCCCTGGCGAGTTCCAGCTTGCGCTCCGCCTCGAGCTCAGCCTTGGAAGCCCACTCGAGGGCGTCCGCCTTCAACTTGAGCTCCTTCGTGGACCTCGTGTAGAACTCCTGGGGGGACACCTACACCACCTGGCTCTCCTCGTACCTCTCTTGTGCCTTACGTAGCGTGTTGGCCTCCTTGGTGAACTGGAGTAGAGAGGCGAGCTGCTCAAGAAGTGCTGCAGGGTCGAGCTTCGCTGGCACGATGGTAGTCCCCGGCGCTCGTTGATCATACCACGAACTTTGCCGTTTCGAGCGCCACGGAGGAGACCTCTGGTACATGTCCATCGCTCTCCCGCACTTTGCACACTTGCCGTCGTTCCTCTGGATGCGGAAATTGAAGGCCCAATTGCCGCACGCACGTACCGTGAAATCGCCCTTCCTCGCCATCTTCGTGCGGGCGGAATGGTTGCAGGAACGGGACGGGCACCCGTCCCTGAAATTGTGGGGTCGCTGCTCCCCAGTGCCAGCTCAACGACTTGAGACAAAATGTATGAAAAGGAGGAGGAGGAGGAGGAGGAGGAGGAGGAGTGGCATGTCGCCCTGCAGATGGGTGCCGAAAAAACCCTCCAGGGGAGACGCGCCCCTGTGGCTGCGTGTTTTTGGACTTTCTGCCGAGGCGCTAAACCCTAGTGGAGACCTGTTCGAGGAGGGGTTGCAGATCCAGCAGGAGCATGACAAGGAGGAAAGAGGAGGGCCGAGGAAGGGAGGAGGGAGGGGAAGGACTCGAAACTGATTTCAGCTCACGGATCCCCAGGTAACGCGTTTCCCGAGGCGCGCAGTGGTGTCTCTCATTGTGGTCCTCGACCTTGTTTCGGAGACATGGCTGTCGACGGCACAACATGGGGGCAGAGAAAGAGGAGGAGAGCGGAAGGAACGAGGGACGAAAAGGAGAGAGGAGGAGGAGAAGAGGGTGGAGGACGTCGAGTCGATTAGCGAGGAGGAACAGGGGGCGGCCCGGCGGCCCCGCAGGTCTGCGGCAGGTGCGGGAGCTCTCCGGCCTTGAGGTAAAGGTCCACCAGGCCCGCCGGCGGGCGCCTAGCTCTGCTCCGCGACATGCCCGATCATTGCGTCGACCCAGACAGACGGACCACGAAGGACGACGGACGACGGACAACGACGACGACGACGACGACAACGGACGTCAGACGACGATGGACGACGGATGACGAAAGACGGTCGACGGACGACGTTGGACGACGGACGATGGACGGTGGACGACGACGGCGACGACCCTTCGACGACGACCACAACAGACGACGGATGATGAACGACGACGGCGACTAACAAAGACGAAAGCCGACGGACACCGGTCGACATACGACGGAAGACAGACGATTGACGACGACGACGACGACGACGGCCGACAACGACGGACGACGGACGACAGTGGGTGGACGACGACGACGACGATCGACGACGACGACGATCGACGACGGACCGCGACAGATGACGGACGACGAACGACGGACGACGGACGACAGCCGACGGACAACGACGACGACGGACGACGACGACTAAGAAGACGACGACGACGACTAAGATGACCACGACAGGACGACGGACGACCGACGACGACGGGCGACGGACGGCGACTGACGACGACGGACGACGATGGACGACGACGACGACGACGACGACTCGACGACGTCCACGACGACGACAACGGACGTCGGACGATGGACGACGACGACGGTCGACGACGACGACGACGACGGATGACGGACGACGGACGACGACAGACGACGGAAGACATTCGTCGACGGCCGACGATGACGATGAAGACTTCGCAGTCCATCGTACTTCGACGACGAAGGCCGACGAAGACGGCCGAGTTCGACGAGCGCCGTCTATCGTGCGAAGTCGACGGACGACTTCGCACGATGGACGGCGATGACGACGACGGACGACGTACGACTGACGATGGACGACGGTTGACGGGCGACGACGGAGGACGTCCACTGACGACGGACGATGCACGACGGCCAACGACGGACGACGACGACGACAACGACCACAGACGATAATGACGACGACGACGACGTCGACGGACGACGGAAGACGGACGACGCCAACGACGACCACGACGGATGATGAACGGCGGCCGGCGACGACGGGCCTAATGACGACGACGACCACAGCGGACGACGGACGATGGACGAAGAAGACGGCTGGCAACGGCGACCACGACAACGGGCGAGAATGATCGACGGACGTCGGACAAGGGACGACGGACCACAAGAGCTGACGACGACGATCACGACGACGACGAAGACGGCGATGACGACCACGGACGGACGACGACGGACAACGACGACGACGGCGACGACGGACGATGAACGATGGCCTACGACGAAGGCCCTCACGACGACGACCACAGCCGACGACGGCCGAGGACGACGACGACGGCCGAGGACGACGACCACGACAACGGACGACAAACGACGGACGACGACGACGACGGCCGACGACCACGGACGAGTGACGACGAAGGACTACGACCACGGACGACGGATGACGAAGGACGATGGCCGTCGATGGACGACGATGGACGACGGCGACGGACGACGGTTCAAGACGGCCACTACGGACGACGGACAACGGAGGACGGACAACGACGACGACGGAGACGACGACGGACGGCGACGACGATGGTCGACCGACGACGGCGGACGGCGGACGTCCGACGACTGTCGACGACGACGACGACGACCACGATGACGGACAATGAACGACGGACGACGACGACTGCCGAGAACGCCGACCACGACGGACGACGGACGACGAGAGACAACGACGGACGACGGCGGACGACGATCACAGACAACGACGACGACGGAAGACGGACGTCGATGGACGACGATGGACGGCGATGACTGCGACGACGAAGACGGCGACGACAGACGACGGACGACAGACGCCGGAGGATGGACGATGGTCGACCGACGGCGGACGACGACGGCAACTAAGATGACGACGACCACCACGACGACGACGGGCCAGAGATGAGATGCAAGGCCTGAGGGCCGAGACTTCATGATTTATACAGCCATTTATCACGGCCCCTGGCTTTGGAGGGGGCCCCCTGTGTGCTTCGCTGAGGGCTCTCTACCTCGGAATGGCTCTCCGTTTAGAGGTGCCTTCATTGGGCACCAGGGCTTCGGCGAAGGGGCTCACGTTTCTGATCCTCGCTCTCGTGGCCGCGTTTCGCTTGAAGAGGCTGTTTTTGTTTTTGCCTCCACGGGCGCGCGTGAGACCACGGCTATAATCCCCGCGAAATCCCAGCCAGAACGCACCCCATGGCAGGCCTGGGGTTCCAGGTTTGACCCCGACCGCAGGTTCGCCCCGCATCGACGTGGATCAGGAGGAGAAAAAACACACAGACACAATTAGTCGTCCACTCCCGGGAAAATATGGGGAAATATGGGAAGTGGTGGGGAACACAGAAACCCAGAAGATATGGGAAAATATGGGGAATTATTTTATCTGTGTGTACGTGTGTGCTCGCACGGGAAGGTGAGGGGTATTGTTTCGGGTGATGTCTCCGTGTTGCCATAATCTATGCTCAAGCCTCCTTTCTCTCGTCAGAGGCGTCGATGGGCCCTGCCGACGGCCGGCCCCCGATCGCGGTCCTCGCGGTGGCCCTCGCCTGGGCGGGCTGGCGCGCCGCCGAGGTTGGGCTGCTGCCCGAGGGGCTGCTCGGGCCTGGTGGGCCGCCGCCCCCGCCGCCGCCGCCCGACGCTGGCGCGGCGCTGGGCCGTGGTGAGCCCGAGGGCTCGCCTGCTTGGCTGGAGGCAGTGTGCCCAGTGGTGCCCCAGTGCCCGGCCTGCCCAGCCTGCTCGTGCCCGCAGGTAGAAATGCAGGGCCCATCGCCTGGAGAGCAGGCCGTGTGGTTGCTCGTTCCCCCCGTGCTCACCAACCTCCTGGACTTCGTGGCGGGCCGCTGGTGTGGGCGTGGCCGATCCGCTGCGGTGAGACATGGCGCTCCTCCCGTTCGGCGAGGAGGTGGAGTGGTACAGTGACCTGGCCCCCGGCCAGTACGTGGCCATGGAGTACGAAGGCGACGACGTAGATCACGAAGGGATCCTGCTCCATCCTCTCGGCGGCGGAGTTTGGTGGATTCGAACACCAGACGGCGATGAGTACTTCCAGGACGTGGCCTGCCAGGACGCGTCGGACGGCCCAGTGCGCTGCCGCTTGCTGCCCGCCGATGGCTCGCTGCCGCCTGGGGCTAGAGGCCGAGGGCGGCGTAAGCTGTACCGCTTCGCGGAGCGGGTCGGGGCCTTGGAGCTGCGAGAGGGCATCCTGCGGGGCCGTAGGGCTTGCGAGGCGGAGTGCCGCCCTGGCCAGCGTCACGTGGTGCCCGAGCGCGTGCAGGAACCCGCTGGCGAGCTGATGCCGATCAGGCGTTTCTTCGGTGGCAGCTTCCCGCCCGTGCCGGGAGTGAGGCTTCGAGGCAAGAAGCCGCTGACCGCGGCTCTGGTCGCGCGGCCCAGGCCCGAGGTGGCCCCTGGCGGTGCGGCCACGCCCGAGGCTTCGGAGGCGGAGGAGCCTGCGGCTGACGCGCTGCCGCTGCTTGCTGGGCACGCCTGGGCACTGGCGGAGCCCGTCCTTTCCGCTGCCATCGGCAGCGAGGTGGACATCCGCAAGTCGACGTTCGTTGGCGCGCCGGACACCTCGGGGCTGATCTTCGTGGACGACGGCCTCGCCAGGGTGAGGCGCATGCCAGTCGAGGACGTACCCGAGTATGCCGACACTCGTACCGCCGAGCTGCGCCGCCGCCTGGGGCTGCCGGGAGCGGGCGCCGAGGCGGACCTTCGTGATCGCCTGGCTCGCCCGCCGCTGCCGCCGCCCGCCGAGGCGCCCGCCCAGGTTGGGGAGGCCGCCGCGGCGCCGATCAAGAGCGAGGATGTCGGGCTGCTGGCGGTGGACTTCGACGGCCAGGGCGAGCGCTTCAAGCCTTGGCGCGAGGCGGCGCGTGAAAGTAGCCAGGAGGAGTTCAGCGACCAGCCGATGGATGCCCCCCCCGAGTGCGCTCACTACTTGCAAGAGTATGCTGAGGGTGGGCGGCGATCCGAGGCTCTGGCTACGTGAGTACCTTCGAGAGAAGGGGCTGGCCAGCACGGACCGCGTCGCCCACGAGTTACGTTGTATATGCGAGGCTTTGTACATGGCGGGCTGCTACGACCAGGTGAATCTGGGCGGTCTGATGGCGCTGGAAGTCTTGCGTAAGCGACTGGCGGGCATCGTGGCGGCGCGCGCTCATCCACAACGCGTGCAGTGGGAGGTGGCGAAGTATTACACGGGCGCGCAGTCGGCCGAGGACGTCGCTGGCCCAGTGCTGCGGGCCCACGTGGCGCGCAAGATGCGCGAGGATCGAGAAGGCCTGCAGGCGCTGCGCGGCGCCCCCTCGGGCGCGCAGGAGGGCGACCTCGGCGCTGGCGGCGGCGGTGGCGCTGGCAGGGGCGCTGGGGGCGAGGACAAGGGAGGCGGGGGCAGTCGTGGACGCGGCGACGGCGGCAGAGGCCGAGGCCGTGGCGCCGGCGCCCCCGGGGCTGTATGACGGCCCCGCCAGCCAGGGGGTCCCCCGACCCTGGTCGGCTTCAGGGGGCTGGCGGCCGCCCCAGACTGGCGGCCTCGCGGGGGCAGCGAAGCATGTTTCCGCTTCCTCTTCTGACGCTGGATTCGGCGCGCCCCGGGCGCGGCCGCGGTCGCCTAGGAATGGCGAATGACGCGCTGAAAGCACTGAGCTGGATGGCGGGCTGGAAGGAGTTTTTGTGGGCGGATCGCGGCCTGGACGTGCTGCCCGACGATGTGCAGGTGGACGTTCAGCGGAGGGTGTGTGAGTTGGTCGACAGCTGGCACCCGCGCCCTCCGCAACTCAGCGACGAGGCGGCTCTCAAGAAGTTGCTTCAAGGACATTCCCCGCATCAGGCGGCGGGCTGTCCGACAAGGGTCACGCCCTTCAAGCTCGACCTTCTGAGCCTCCCAGGTTCTGTTCGAGGGTGTCCGCTGATAACCGACGTGGCGCCCTCTGAGGTCATTGGATTTCTGGAGGACTATCATGAGCGTATGTTGGCGCCGCCTGTTGAGAAGTATGAGACGATTCCCTACTTTGGCCCGGAGCTACGTTTCAATCAGAAAGAATATCATCGGCTCCTCCGTCGTCTGATAGACATCGGCATTATTACCTGGACCAGCTCGCCTAAATGTCAGGCGGGCCTCTTCACGGTGGAAAAGGGCGGCGGCGCGGCCCAGAGGCTGATTGTCGACGCCAGGCGGGCCAACGAGTGCTTCCAGGCGCCGCCTGGAGTCGCCCTCTTGAGCTCGGAGGGGCTGCCGAGGATAGAGGTGGAGCTGCCGGCTGACGCGCCGCTGGGGCCCGAGCAGGCCGCAAAGCTGTTGGGGGATTTTTGCCTCTCTCTCGGCCTCTCGGATGCGTCTAATTGCTTTCGCAGGTTGCGCGTGCCAGCCTGGTGGCCAGACTACTTCTGCCTCCCTCCCGCGCCGGCTCACGTAATGGGCGCGGCGGGCGCGGAGGTAAATGGGCGAGTCCTCGGCCGCGCGGAGGCAGCGACGCCGTGCTGGGCCGTGCCCCCCACGGGCTTCACCTGGAGCTTGTGGATCGCCCAGAGGATCAACGAGTCTATTGTGGCCAAGGTTGCGCCTTCCCTTCCTGGATCCCCTCTGCGCGATCGCGGGCCGCCGCTGGTGGTAGGGCCTGCCTTGCCCGAGGGCCGCGGAGCGCCCAGTCACTACGTCTACGTAGACAACCTCGGAGTGATAGGTGTTTGTGAGGCTGCAGTTGGCGAGGCGCTCGAGCGGCTGGAGGAGGGCTTCAACCGCGAGGGGCTACTGCTGCACAAGTCGGAGCGGACACGCGGCAGTATCATCGCGCATGGCACGGAGCTCGACGGGACGGCGCTGCGGACTCGGGTCACGCCCAAGCGCTTCTGGCACATATACCAGTCGCTGGGCGCGCTGCTGCGGCGCCGTCGGGCCAGTGCGTGGGCGCTAGAGGTCGTCCTGGGCCACTGCACGTTCGCCGCTCTGTGCTGCCGAGGCCTGCTAAGCATTTTCCATTCGGTATATGCCTTCGTGGAGCGAGGTCGCACTTCGGGCCGAGCCGAGCCGCTGTGGGACGAGTGCCGCTCCGAGCTGCAGGCCTTCAAGTCCCTCATGATCTTCATGTTCAGTGACTGGCTGCGCTGCTGGAATGACCTGGTGGTTCAGACCGACAGCAGCCTCGAGGGGCGCGCGGTGGCGCAGGCGCTCTGGCCCGTGCAGGCCGCACGGGAGGTGGGCCGCACCTCCGAGCGGCAGCGCTTCCGCCGCGTGGGTTCCCACCGAGCGCGGGGGAGTGCCCTCGAGACAGCCGGCTTCAGTCAGCAGGCGGACGGCAGCTGGGCAGTCGCCGCCGCCGAAAGTTTTGATGAGGAGGGTGCTGCCTCCGAAGAGGCACCGGATTGGGAAGTAGATCTCTCGTTTCCCGAGGTGCTTGCTAGCCTTTTGAAGTCAGATCCGTGGCGTCTGGTGAGAGTGCAAAAGTGGCAACGTTCTGAGGGGATCTTGGTTAAGGAGGCTCGCGCCCTAGTCAAAGGCTTCATTCGTGTTGCAACTAGCTCGCAAGTGTGTGACATGAGGCAGCTTCTGTTGTGCGACAATATGTCGGTCACCCTCGCTTTCGGCCGAAGCCGTGCCACATTTGTTTTGCTTCTTGTTCAGATCCGCGTTTTCCAGGCCCACTGCCTGGCCAGAAACGTCTTAGGGGCTGTGCGCTGGATCCCTTCCGAATTAAACTTCTCGGATAAGGGTGCTTGGATTTTCGGGAATAGCAGTACCAGTAAGACTTTGGTAGATGATATTCCTTCATTTTTGAGTGTCAAAGGCAGCAGTTTACAGGAGACTTCGAAATGCCCGCAATCCTCGATCCGATGTAATTTAGCTGTTCCCGCTTCTGCTGTTCCCCTCGGCAGGTACGTAGACATGTCGTCTCAAGCTTTACCATGCACTTTCTGTGATCGTTCCGATTCCTGGAGTCAGAGAGGCGATGCCTCCCAGCAAGCGGCAGGCGACCCTACCACCGACGGAGCCTCGATCGAGCAAGTGCCAGCGAGGGCACGGGAAGCTGGCCAACCAGAGAAAGGCCACCTTGCGGCCGCAGGATGTCCAGCTGGTGCTGCGCGACAGGCTGAGCTGTCGACGCCAGGAGTTGACTCCCCGACAGCGAGGATCGCCTGAGGCGCGAGCCCGCGCTGGCAGACGTCGGCGAGAGCAGCAGCGCCGACGACGAGGAGAGGCCAGGGCCTGGCGCCGCGCGGAGGGCAGTGCTGCGGCGCACGGGCCACCAGCGGAGGCGCAAGTTCCTGGGCACAGCCCTGGCGACCGCAGCCGGGGGTCTCAGCAGCTTCCTCGAGGAGAGCTCGGTGACGCCCAGGGTGCTGGAGCGGTGCCGGACCGAGGTGGCGGGCTTCGCGGACTTCGCAGGAGAGCGCCCGCTGGCGCGCGACGAGCAAGTCGACGGCGTGCTGGTGGAGTACTTCACTTCCTCTTTTTCAAAGGCTGGGATGCCAACAAAGGGGGGCAGATCCTTGCTGGCCTGATGTGCTTGGCGCCGGAGTTCTCGCGGGCTGGCCGCCGCCAGCTCCCCCGGGCCTTTCGTTGCCTGAAAGGCTGGCGGCGCCGGGCCCCTGGCCGCAGCAGGCGCAGCTGGCCCCTAGCCTTGTGGGCTGGAGTGGCCTGGTGGCTAGTCGAGCGCAACTTCTTGCAGATGGCGGTCTTCCTCCTGGTCTCGCTCAGCAGCTACCTGAGGCCGAACGAGCTGATGGGCCTCAAGGCGCGTGGCGTGATTGCGCCTGCTGCTGGCATCTCCCCGCTCTGGAGCCTGCTGCTCTTCCCTTCTCAGCAGATCGAGCGGGGCAAGACCGACCTCAGCGACGTCAGCATCGAGATGGACTCGCCCTACTTGCAGTTCATGGGTCCAATCCTGACGAGGTGGTTTGGACCTTCACGTATCCTCAGTATCTCCAGGAGTTCAAGACCTTGCTGACCGAGCTCGGCATCACAGAGACGATAGTGCCGCATCAGACGCGGCATTCGGGACCGTCGATCGACATCGCGAGGAGGTATCGGACGGTGTCCGAGGCACAGCGTCGTCGACAGTGGGCAAGCATCAAGAGTGTCCAGCGGTGCGAGAAGGGCGCCAGGCTGGGAGAGAGTTGGGAGCTTCTTCCAGTCGGAGTGCGCCAGCTGCTGGAGGCATGCGAGGGAGCGCTCGAGGACATATTCTGCGACAGACCGCACGGCGTGGCGCTCCCTTGGCGGGGCATTTCAGAGGCCGCTACATCCTCGACTTCTACTCGGGGACAGGCGGCGTCGCGCGGGCCGCGGCCCAGCAGGGTTGCAGCGCTCACGCGCGCGATCGCGCCCGCGGGCCCCACGAGGACTTGACAGCGCCCAGAGCGATCAAGTGTGTGACGGCGGCGATAGCACGAAAGGAAGTGTTGGGTGCCGTCTTGGGCCCGCCGTGCGACGCTTGGGGCGGAGCGGCGGACCGAGGCAGACGCGGCCCCGTCCGTTCGAGGCTGCAGCCGTGGGACTTAGATGCTAACGAGTTGACTAGACGTCTGTGTGAGCGCCTTGAGCGCGGCAGCACAGTCTTTCGGTGTGCCTTGCAGATGTTGCGAGCTTTGTGTAAATGTCAGGTTCCAACAATCCTTGAGCATCCAGTCAATTCAAAACTTGGCACACCCCTGAGCTTATAGGTCTCCTTGAAAGGTTTAGAGGCCACACTAGGACTTTTGATCAGTGCCAGTTCGGACGTTGTTGGCAGAAACGCACAAAGCTTGCCCTCTTTGTCGTAGACATGTCCGATGCGATGAAATTCGATCGTAGGTGTAAAGGGAGCTCAGGGGTGTGCAGTCGCACGGGTAGGAAACATTTCGTACTGGAAGGAGCCGCGCCATCAGGTGTAAAGTGGACGGCCATTGCAGCTTCTTAGCCCCCTACCTTGTGTAAAGCCATGGTCCAGACGTTGCTGTCCTATGAGCGTGATCGCATTGCCTCTTTTGTGTCTGGCTGACGCCGGCCTTCTGCCCCGCCTGTGTGGTTTTTTTTTCAGCTTGCTTTCTCGCTTTTTGATGACCTGCCCCGCCCGTCCCTGGGAACCTTGAGGGCTCGGGTAGCCCTTGTCGGGTTTGGGATGCGAGTGCCGTCCCAGGTGCACGGCTCTCGATTTATTTCTGTGCTTCGATCGACTGGCGTCGAAGTCGCGTCAACGCGCGGCACCTTGTAGCAGAAACTGCCCCCGCGAGAAAAATGCAACAGCACCTGTGTGTGCCCGCGCGGGAAGGTGAGGGGTATTGTTTCGGGTGATGTCTCCGTGTTGCCATGATCTATGCTCAAGCCTCCTCTCTCTCGCCCCCCCCTCCCTTGCCCGTCTCTTTCAGGATGTCTTGAGCGAGTGCCGTCCCAGGTGCACGGCTCTCGATTTATTTCTGTGCTTCGATCGACTGGCGTCGAAGTCGCGTCGACGCGTGGCACCCTGTAGCACTAACTGCCCCCGCGAGAAAAATGCAACAGCACCTGTATGTGCTCGCACGGGAAGGTGAGGGGTATTGTTTCGGGTGGTGTCTCCGTGTTGCCATAATCTATGCTCACGCCTCCTCTCTCTCGCCCCCCCCTCCCTTGCCCGTCTCTTTCAGGGTGTCTTGAGCGAGTGCCGTCCCAGGTGCACGGGTCTCGATTTATTTCTGTGCTTCGATCGACTGGAGTCGAAGTCGCGTCGACGCGTGGCACCTTGTAGCAGAAACTGTCCCCGCGAGAATAATACAACAGCACCTGTGCGTGCTCGCGCGGGAAGGTGAGGGGTACTGTTTCGGGTGATGTCTCCGTGTTGCCATAATCTATGCTCACGCCTCCTCTCTCTCGCCCCCCCCTCCCTTGCCCGTCTCTTTCAGGATGTCTTGAGCGAGTGCCGTCCCAGGTGCACGGCTCTCGATTTATTTCTGTGTTTCGATCGACTGGCGTCGAAGTCGCGTCGACGCGTGGCACCTTGTAGCAGAAACTGTCCCCACGAGAAAAATACAACAGCACCCCAATCTGTGTGTCCCAGGGCCCCTTTCAGCGGAGGTGACCACAGCGCGGGCGTTCAGCGCCGACCGCCGCCGGTTGCCCGGACTCGGCGCGGGTCGAAGGGTCTGCGCTATGTAGCACTCGATTTCACGAGAAGGGACATTTCGCTCGAGCAGCGGGCCTTTTGTAGGGGATCAAAAAGTGGCATAAACATAACAACTCGGAGGTCCGCGCGGATTTCTCGGATCGGCGCTGGGCCCCCCCGCCGGCGCCTCCGGCGCCGCCCCTGGCGCGGTCCGCGCGCCAAGGAGGGGGGTCCAGCGCCGATCCGAGAAATCCGCGCGGATCTCGGAGTTTTTATGTTTATGCCACTTTTTGTTTCCCTATTGCGATCCCCAGATGACTGCACGCGATGCGATAGCAGCGTCTTGCGCGCTCGGGTTTGGCCTCCCCGCGGCCCCCGAGAGTCGCGCACCAGAGGTCATTCTTGCCTCGGGCCACCCCTTGCGTGCAGCCGAAGGAAAGCCGCGACCATTCCAGGATGAACGACGCCACGGCCATCCCGGCAAAGAGCCTGCCGTGCCGCGCCGTCGGTTCTGGGGCTGCGCGTGAGGCCCTGTGTCAGTGGCACGCGGCCACCACTGCTGCGCCGAGGCGAGTGCCGAGGCGGAAGAGCGGGGGGGGGGCGACCCTGGAACCGCGCGGGGAATTGCCCCTTCCCGGCCCCGGCCAGGCCCGACCACCCCCTCCGCAAACTATGGCCAGGAGACCTCTGCTCCGTATGAAAGCGCATCGGAAGCGGCTGCTGTAGCGTGAGACGGGAGGTGGACAGGCGGGGGGCGGCTGCCGAGGGAGGGGCGGCGGGGGAGTCACGGAGGCGGAGAGAGAAACAAAGAAAGAGAGAAATAGAGAGAGAGAGAGAGAGAGAGAGAGAAAGAAACAGAAAAAAGGAAAGGGAAGCGGCGCCGAGGAAGAGCACAGCGTGTATACCGCGCCGACACCAGCAGCGATCAAACGACGCCCCGCCACTAAAATAATTAAATCAGAACAAAAAAAAGAACGCAGGGGGCGATTCGACCCTTGAACCCCCCCCCGTCGCGGCCTCCACCTGATCCGGTCCCTCCTCCTGCTCCTCCCCTTCCGCTTCCCCCGTTGAGCAGCATCCCGTCGTGGTGTCCTCCTGGTCCTCCGGTTCCTCGTCATTATCTTGTTCATCATCATTCTTCTCCTCCTGAGGAGGCTCTGGCCTGAGAGGTCCCGAGCACGCACTCGTAACGGGGCTCCCGCACTCAAAACAAAAAAATACAAGAGTCACCCCTCTCACCCCTGTAATTGTAAAACAAAAGAACAAGTTTCAGCTTCGGAGGAGAACTCCTCCTCACGCCCGCTTCCTTCTCGTCTTACCCCCCCTCTGGAAGATGTGGAGGAGTTCTCGAGTTCTCCTCTACGTATAGCTTCTCGTGTTTTGTAATACAGATGCAGGGATGAGAGGGGTGACTCTTTGTTTTTATTTTGTTTGGGGGGGACCTCTCAGGCGAGCAACAGCAGCAACAGCAACAACAGCAACAACAACACTGATTTTAAGACTGTTCGCTCCTATCTGCCCGCATGCCAATCAATACGTATATCGCCAACCTTCGGTACCTGCCCTCGTCGTCTTCGATCGTGCCTGCCACGTGCATTTAGTGCAGCCCCTAAAACAAGAGAAGCGAGGACGGGTGGAAGGGGGAGGGAGAAGCAAAGGAACACGAGAGAATTGAGCAGGGAAGGGGCAAGGAGCAACAAACAAACGGTATAACTAAAATGGCAGATCGGGTGGGCAGACCCATAGCGGGCAGGTCGGGAAGGCGGTCCTAGGCGTCCAGGTCGAGCAGGCGGGTTGCTGAAGCGTGGGTCTGGCATGAATCGCGAGGAAGTCTCGAGCGATAGCGCGATTCCCAAGTAGATCGTGAGAATCCAGAGCGAGAGCGTGATTCCTGAGCGCCGAGGGCGCATCGTCTGAGTAAATTGCGAGGAAGTCCCACGCGAGAGCGCGATGCGTACATGAATTGAGGGGACGTCCCGCGCGAGAGCGCGATTTGGGAATACGTTGTGAGGAAGTATCAGGCGGGAGCCGTTGTTGTTGTAAACCGGGGGCCAGAGTCCCAGTTTGAGCCCCGTGATTTTGCCTGATCCAAAACAAGGTGCGAGCCCCAGGGAAAGCACATCAATTGAAAAAATACAATGGTCACCAGAGGGGGGATCAACAATATTTATTCCTTCTCTTGGTATCGCTCGGACGTGTGCACTCTTTATCGGCGGGGATGATTAAGACGCATCCTGGATCATCCGGCGAACAAAAACCACGCAAGAAACCTAACAAAACACAGGGAATGGGTGTCCGAGCGACGGCAAGTTCGAGGCTTTCGGACGTGTTAGTTTCGCGGTGTTCGAGTGTTCGCGTTGGCTCTCGGCGGTCTCCCTGCCTTTTGGGTGTCTTCCATCGACTGCGCCTCGCCGAGGGTGCTCTGGGGATGCCCGGATCGTCCCGAACGGCCGCTGGCAAGCCGGGCCATGACCCGAAGGCCAGGGGGCAGCGGGCAGCGGAGGGTGGAGATGGGCTCAGGGAGGAGCGCATCGACCCCCAAATCACAGATCGGAGAAACGCAAGACTCGAGTACGCCGGAGCTCGGGTTTGCCGACGCTTTTTGACGGGCGCGCCCTAGATCTTGATGGTCCAGGTTTCGTGGGATGCTTGCAGCGGGAGTGCGCGTCAAATTGCAGACTGGCCCTCGGCATCAGAGTGGCCCTGTCGGGCCAATCCAGTGGCCATGAGAAACGCAGGATGTAGCATCACACGTTCTTGTGGCCACCGGTAGCCATCAGAACGTGCGATGTTCCATGGTGGCCACCGGTAGCCACCAGAGCACCCCGAGCCCGAGTCTTGCGTCTCCCCGAGCACATGCTCATCACCGCGAGGGGCCCGGCGGCCCTCCCCGCCCAGCCGCGCGCGGCTCTGCCCTCGGGGGGCTCTGCCGCCGAGCTTTCGGCGCTGCACCGCCGGCTCCTGCGATGGCTCCCCCCCTGAGCCGATTTGGGTATAGCCAGGACCCCGGGTAAGGGGACCCGGTTAGTGGCAGGGCCCTGGGGCCCCTCCATCGGCCAGACTCACTAAACCAGGTTTGCCGTTTGGTGGTTTTCGGGTTTTCGGGTGACGGCAGTTCCGGTTAGCGGAACGGGGCGGGGGGGCGTTCCCCGGTACACATCACTAAACCAGGTTCCACTAAACCCAGTTCTGCCAACGCCCGACCGATCCTCTTTTCCGAAACGAAAGGTTCGCGCCGTGTCGACCAGCGGCGACCCCGCCGCCAGTGTTCAGCCTTGGACGCCGGCGGCGGCCTGGGAGCGCTGAACGTGGAGCGATCTGACAGCCTCCAAACGGCCGATCGTTCAGGGATGAACGATCCCCGCGGTGTCAGGAACCATCGGGCTGGACGAAAGGGGGGGATCGAGAAAGGGGGGTTACGAAATTTGCCGCATGCAGCTGGTTTCGGCCTCACCGAGGTCGCCTCCGGCGCCGGGAGGCGCTGGGAAAATCAGCTACGTGAGCTGATTCTCAAACCCCCCCTCTGCTATCCCCCCCTTTCGCCCGACCCGAAGCCAACGCCGGGGTTGACACGGCACGAGCCTGCCGCAGCAGCCGCGTCGCGCAGGCCTCCCCCCCGTGCGCGGCGGCCGCCCGTCGGCCGAGAGGACCCCGCGGAGGGCTGGGGCCGCTGCTCGTTCGCGGGCGCGGTGCAGAGCTGCCTGGTCGCCGCGGAGCTCGTCCACCTGCTCTGCATCGGCAAAGGACGGGCCCCTCTTCTTCCTCCTCCTCCTCCCCCATCGTCCCCCTCCTCCTCTTCCTCCCCCATCCTCCCCCACCTCCTCCTCCTGCACCTCCTCCTCCTCCTCCTCCTCCTCCCCCTCCTCCTCTTCCCCCTCCTCCTCCTCCTTCTCCCCCTCCTCCTCCTCCTCCTCCTCCCCCTCATCCTCCTCCGTAGCCATTTTGGCTCAAGATGCTTAGTTCCGCAGGGGAACAAGTGGATACCGCTAGTCCGCGGCCAGTTTGCAGTCCTTCCCCTGGTCAGCCCCAGGGCGAGCGCCGAGGTGGTCCGCCCGACCTCGGCGCGTCTCTCGCATCCTTCCTTGCTCGGGGCTGCCCAGCCTCGTGCATCGTATTCCTGATCCTCGTGTGCTTTGTATCGGCAGGATGGTGCCGCGCCCAGTCTCCGACAAGACTTGGCTGTGCAAGACCTGCATCCACGAGCGCACGGGTGAACGTTTCTTCAATAAGGCTGACCGTACATCATGCTTCTCGTGCAGGCGGCCCAAGAGCAGTTGTTTCAAGGCCTACAAGCTGTCCACCGCAGACCCGAGTGTGCACGCTGGAGATCTCAAGGCTGGTGGCAAGAAGGCCGCTAGCGCTGGCTCGGCACCGTGGGAGGTCGCTAAGCAGCTGCGGCTGGCGCAGGAGACGATTGCCAAGCTCGAGAAGCAGATCCAAGCCAAGCACGTGCCAGCGCCTGATGCCATGGATGTGTCGGAGCCTAAGGCTATGGCAAATGATTTCGATGAAGGCAAGTTTCGTGCACGTATTTTGGAGTTGGATAAGGAGATCGCAGTTGCCAGCAAAGGTGTTGGCGCAGCGTGGGCAGTCCTCAAGGAGACGCTCACCAAAGAACGCAGCGAGCTCCAGGATGAAATTAACAAGCACAAGCCTGCAGCCTCGCGCATGTTCGTTGTTGGCAAGCAAATCGAGGCTATGGGCAAGCAGATTGCAAAGGCGGAGAAGGATGTTGACGACCAAAAGGCCGTCATCAAGGAGCTACAGGATGTGCTGGTGCAGGCTGAGCAGAAGGTGCTGGACAAGAAGGCCAAACTGCTCGAGCTCCAGACCCAGCACGCTGATTTGGCGCGCCAGAGCTATGTCCCACCAGTGCCTAATGACGACGGGGATGCTGGGCAGACTGTTCATGCTCTGGGCCTTGACACAACCAAGTTGGGTGAGGTGTTGCGAGCACTTGGAGCTGGTGACAGGACTGACGCCATCGCGCACGGAGTGGCTCAAGCACTGCCTCAGATTATCACGAATGCTCGGCTGCAACCAGTGGGAGCGACTCGACACCATGCAGTTCCTGAGATGCTGGACAATGAGTCACTTGCTGATGACGAAGCTCCTCTGGTACCTATCAAGGAGGCAACCGAAGATGTATTGCGGCCTTACCTGGCGGAGGCGGGTCAGGAGGTGCCCACGACTCTGGAGGAGATGCGTGACGCGGCCAATCGACTCTGCAAGCTGGAGCAGCATGCCAAGCAGAGGAAAGGGCCAGGCTTCCAGGCCTACTAGGCCAAGGAGGCCAGTCCACGCCATGATGATGTTCACTTTACTGGTTAAGATGACGTATTCCGATTCTAAGATCAAGGGTCAGATTGTCACGGTCAATACTGATGCAGCTGGCCCCTTGCTACGATATGTGGAGCAGGCCACAGATGCGGTGATATTGGTTCAAGAGCACAAGTCAGATGGATCAATGTTGCCCAGCCTGCAGTACAAGCTGAAGTGCATGGGCTACCACGGCATCTTCTCGGCGGCCAAGCGCACGGCAGCTGACGGGCTCTCAGCGGGGGTTGCAGTGATCACGCCGAGTTTTATCACGATCACGGCGCCACCACTGCTCAAAGACCCTGAGATTGTGCCCTCTCGGGCTGTGGCAGCGCAGGTCAACTGGGGCCTCAAGAGTGGGATAGTTGTCATATCCCTCTACTTGCAGGACTCCGTGGACCTGAATGACTACAACCTTATGATCCTACACAAGGTGGCGCAATACGTGGGCCGCCTCAATGCAGCAAATCGGCCCTGGGTCATTGGAGGTGACTTTAATATGAGTGCGAATTTGATTGGAGCACAGGAGTCGGTGGCGCAGACGAACGCATTGATGATGGTACCTTCGCAAGTCACATGTCGCACCGCCAACTCGGCTGAGGGCAAGATTTATGATTACTTTATGGTTCACTCCAAGTTGGCCGCAATCATTGAGCCACCAGATGTGTTGGCGGCTGCAGGGTTACCCACGCATGCACCCGTTGTTCTTTCGATTCGTTCTGAGCCCAAGAAGATCTGGCTAAGGGCCCCTGTTGAGCCCAAGCAGTTACCAAAGCTACCCAAGCAAGGTTGTTCGCGATATCCTATGAACTGGGATCATGTGATGGACACCATTCTACGTGCTCATGACGACGACACGCTCAAGATGGCTTGGGACGCAGGTATTACTGGAGTGGAATTTGAGATACTCAACAGATACGACGTGGTTGATGATGAGGCTGCTCCGTACAGGGGCAGAGCGGGCCCGAGGGACACCAAGTTTGTCGAAGCACACTGGACCCCCAAGCGTGAGGCGGGAGGCCTTGGGCCGAACGCCTTAGCTTGGCTGGCTGCGGCCAGATGGGCGAAACATCTCATGAGAGTGCGAGCCTTCTGGATCAAATTGGTGCAGGAAGCTGTGCGTGATGATAGGCGTGCGGGCATATTTCACCTTCCGGATTACAGCTCGCCCTGGACCAGCCGACAGCCATCCTTGGCGCCTGCAGCTGCAGCTCCTATGAGAGAGGAATCAGAGACAGACGACAACTGGATGACGGTCACCAGCAGATCGAGATCACAGAGGGCACCTACGAGTGGGTCGAGACTGCCCCGCGGCGCGTGTCCTCTGCTGATCCGCGCATGTCCGCGGCTCTCAGCTCAGTGACCCCGTGCGGTGGTATTTCTGGAGGGCTGATGGCGCCGTGTACTGCAACTACGACCAGTGATGTCTCTGCCCCTGGTAGAGGGCCTACGGGTACTACGACGGCGACCGCGACGACTGCGTCAGCCTCGAGGCCACGTGAGGATCCAGGGAATCCTGGCAGAACGCAGTCCAGGAGGCAGCGAGCATCAGCGAGACTGAATCCCATTGACAGATTGGCTTTCTCGCTAGTGGACACAGATCGCTTCTTGCTCAAGATAGTGGGGCAGCAGTGCCACATATGGAGTCACCTGGATGAGGACACTCAGAGATTCTTCCTAGATGGCATCGCCTTGCTAGGAAGAGACGACTTCGAGCAGCAGGTTTACCGCATAGTCGAGCGTGCTGATGAAGTTCACCAGAAGCATAACAAGAAGGTGGAGGACAGCTGGAAGCCGTGGATCGACACGGCGTTCAAGAAAGGTGCAGGCCCTGCGCATCGCACGTCTAAGGTCAAGGCGTTGGAGGCAGCTGTGGCGCACACTGGCAGAATGCAGCCGTACCAGATGGCCGACAGGGAAATGGATGTCTGGCATGAGGTATGGTCCTGTCATGGGCAGCGTGAGCCACCATTGCCTAGTGATGCGCATGCATGGGAGGATCTCCCCCCGCTTCGGCCAGAAGACTTGTCCAGGGCAGCTCTCACGTTCTCTTGGACGACGGCCACTGGGCCGACGAGGCTGCACCCTCGTGTATTTTTCTTCCTCTCTGATGCTGGCTTGTTGGCGCTCTGCACACTGTGCCACACATGCGAGCGGATGCTGTACTGGCCGACACAGAGAATAGTCAACGAGATGGTCAGGCTTGCCAAGCCCGACGGAGGCACGCGGCTGATCACTTTAGTAGAGAGCTTAGTACGTTTGTGGGCGCGAGCAAGGCGCCCGATTTCAAGAACATGGATTGTTCAGCATGGGAGCCCTTTTATTTGGGGCAACAGGAGGGGACACTCTTCCAGCTATTCCGCGCTTGCGCACAACCTAGAGGCGGAGATTGCTGCTTCTCTGGGAGAGAGTTCAGTCACGGTGTTTCTCGATATGTGGAAATGTTTCGAGACAGTGCTGTTCCCTGCATTGCTTAATGCAGCCAGGTGCCTGGGGTTCCCTCTTCGTTTGATATGGATGCTAATTAACTCGTATTCCCAGCCAAGGGTTATAAAGGCGTTTGGATGTTGGAGCAAGCAGGTGGTGGTGTACCAGGGCATCCTCGCGGGCTGCACCCACGCCACCACCCTCCTCACCATCCTCACCTACAGGGCCCTCATGAAGGCGCACCAGGTAGCCCCCAACGTGACCCCGAGAGCGCTCGTGGATGACAGCACGTTCCAATGGATTGGGCCGTCGGGGACTTCTTCGGCTGAGTTGTTCTTGGGGGCCCAGAGCTTCGTCAAGGATTCGGCCAAGTTGGGGCTCCTGCTGCAGGTCAAGAAATCTGGCTGGGTCTCCAACACTAGGAAGGGGCACCAGGGGTTCCGCAAGTTGGCCTCAAGGATCAACCTCAAAAGCAAGAAGTGGGTCCGAAATTTTGGGCATGAACTCAGTGGGCCAGTTCCTGTGAGGAAACCAGCTAAGGCTAGGATGAAGGGCTTGCAGGACAGGCTCCCAAGGCTTATTATGCTCCAGAAGGCGGCTGGCAACAGAGTCACCGCGATCTGGAGAACAGGACTCCTTCCAGCTGCTGCGCACGGCGCGACTGTATCAGGAGTCAGCGACCAAGAGCTTGCCCGTTTACGCTCGGTTGCTGGCATGTTATGTGGCCGTTCGACGGCAGCTTCTTCTCTCACTGTATATCTGGCTACGCAGGCTGACGCCAAGTACGACCCAATATACAATGCCACCATGGACCCCCTGAAGGCCTACTGCAGCTTCGTCTGGGACAACAGAGTTTGCCTTGGGAGACTGCAGAGGGCCTGGATGAAGGTGGATGAGGGGCTAAAGGTTAAGGCCTCTTGGACCTCGGCAAGCCCATTGCTGTAGTATGGATGTCTTTGATGAGAATAGGATGGGGCATGTATTCCGCCACGGGGATCTACAGCGACCTAGGTCACACGTTTGACCTCCTTCAGCTCTGTCCCAAGGACGTACTGGAGTTGGTCAGGCAAGGTATCGAGCGATGGCAAGGCATGCGTATACTTACACATCACAAGGAGGTATGTTATGGGGTCGTATGGATGAGAGCTATGATGAGATGCATTGGTGCTAAGAAGGCAGTGGTCAGGCACCCACGTTTTGCAGGCGCGCTTCGTGCACTGTGGTCCGACTCTATTTGGTCACGTTCCAGACTGGCTGCCAAAGGGTACCAGATTTCCCCTGCCTGCATCTACTGCGCAGCGGAGCAATCGACCATTGGACACGAGTTCTTTTGCTGTCCTAGTTTTTACGATGACGTGCTTGAGGAGCCCGATCTCGACTGGAACGCTGATATGCAGTACACATATGATATGCTAAGGGAGCTCGGACAGAAGGCCCTTGGAGAGCCCGGCTGGGATTGTCTTGCCACGGCAGTAGGCATACCAGTGAGCCCTCTCATCCCACCGTTTGTGGAGTTCAAGTTGCAGTACGTCTGCTGGGGTGACTGGGAGTCTGACAGAAGTTCCTGGAGCTCTTTGGTTTTCTCTGATGGTTCGGGGCTGGCCCCTGCGTGGCCTGAGATTCGTCGATGTGGGTGGTCTTTCGTCGTCATGGGGGACAACGGGCTACCTGTTCGTGCTGCATATGGGCCCCTCGAGGGCCCGATACAAACGGTCGGGAGATCGGGGCGAATGGCTTTCCTCATGGCACTCAGGCTTTTACCTGCGGTGGACCTACTGGTGACAGATCTCCAGAGCCTGGCAGCAGAAGTGAACTCCTGGCACCACGACCAGGAAGATGCGAATTCGACATACGCAGACATCTGGAGGCACATCTTTCATGCAGCTGACGACAAGCGTCGGCCCAGAGCTTGCTGGACGCCTGCGCACATCATGATCGAGAGTTACCTGGAGGTACACTTCGGCACCCTCCAGTTTGAATTTCTGCTCGGGAACATGTGGGCGGATTTTTTCGCAAGGGAGGGGGCCAACATGCATGCTGTGCACAAATCGACGGTCCAAATGTTCGAGGCCAGGCTGAGTCAAGAGAAGTTGAATGCTAAGTTCTTCTCCTGGGCGGCTGCTAAGCTCATCGCCAGGGACTCCACCAGCAGTAGACCCGAGAGGCTCAAGTTAGGTGGCCCCCCGACACCTGTACAGCATGTAGGATTGCGTGTGCATGAGGTGGTCATCCGCGGTCCTGGGGTCTGGCAGTGCAAGACTTGTTTGGCCACGGCTCGGACCCCAGCCAGTTTGTTGAAACTCGTTGCGGGTACCAGTAATTATGCTAAGTGTGAGCCCACGGAGCAACAAAAGCTCCAGGCTCGCAATGATGTTGTATTGCAGCGCGCATTGCCTTACAGGAGTGAGGCGGTCAACGTTGCGCTAGGTCTAGCGCAGGAGCTCAGCCCACCCGAAGACCCTGTCGTTCCTGGTCCTTCGGGGGCTCCGCAGCAGTGTGCAGACGACATCGTAGAGTTAGATGGCCACCGAATTCTATCGAATCTTGGTGCAATGGTTTGCACTTTGTGTGGGTCGTACCAGCTTAATGCTGGGCGTGCGGGGCACTCGAAGCTTGGGGGCTGCTGTCTGGGCCCTTCTCAGCACCCCCCCACACTGTATAAGCAGCGGCATGCCACTAAGGCCATCAAGGCGGGTAAGAACCCCAAGAATGGCCTGCCGATCAAACTGTTTTGATGAGTTTCCTTGGCCCGCTCTGTTTTCCGTCTCCTTTTCCCCTGGGAATCCACGGTAAACGAGCTGGGCCCACATGATTGGCCCATGCACCCGTAGTTGGTTGCATGACAGGTCATCCGAGGCGTCCCCCTCATCCTCCTCCTCCTCCCCCTCCTCCTCCTCCTGCTCCTCCTCCTCCTCCTACGTGGCCCAGTGGGAACGAAAGATGCTGGGCCTTGGCCCTGTCCTCGCGGGCGCCCTCTCGTCGTGGGCGCGACGGACGGTCTTCGGGCGATCTTCTCTCGGGCGATTTTTGCGGCTCTCTCTCTGGGCCTCCTGGAGGCTTCTCGTCGCCGCGGCCAGGTCCACCTCGAGGAAGTGGCCAGGATGGATCCGATGAGGGTTCCAGGGGCAGATCTCGCGCGGAATTGAGCCGGGCGGAGGGAGGGCCCTGGCATCGCACGCGTCGTCCCACCTCTCGGCAGTTTTCGGCACCAGTTTCTGTTCGGCAAGTTTCCTCGGCTCTTGGAGCTTCTCCAGACTCGAGGTGCCCTTTTCTGCAGCTGCGTCTCGCCGAGAGCGTTAGGGTTCCGAATTGTCCCGAATGGACACCTGAGACTCGAGGTATGACAGGAAAGACAAGCCCCTGGCGTCGCCGTGCACACACACACACACACAACATACACAACACACACACGCGCGCGCACGCACACGCACACACGCACACACACACACACACATGTATGTATGTATGTGTGTGTATGTATGTATGTATGTATGTATGTATGTATGTATGTATGTATGTATGTATGTATACATATAACGGCGCACCGGATCCGGGGGCCCGGGGCCGGGACCTCGACCACAAATGTGGGCCCCGGGGGGCCCGGAGGCTCGTCGGACCGCCGGACGCCGTCCAAGATCGTTCGCAGGCGGCTTCGGAGCGCGCTCCGATGGCTCCAGATGCCTTCCAAGACGCCTGTCATGACACCAAGAAGGTCCCAGAAGCCTCCAAGACGCTCCGGGAGGCAGCCCAAGAGAGGCCCAAGAAACAAAAATCGTGCCATTCCTATGGGAAAACGTATATTTGTCGCATGTTCGCCTCTTGGGCTTTCACCGCGTCCAAGACGGCCCAAGAGGCGCCCAAGACCGCCCCAAGACGGCCCAAGAAGCTTCCAAGAGGGCCCCAGGACAGCCCAAGAGGGCCCCAAGACGGCCCAAGAGGCGCCCAAGATGGCCCAAGAGGGCCCCAAGACGGGCCCAAGAGGGGGCCCAGAGGGGGACCACGAACCGCAAGCTCGAGCCTTCCGCCCCAAGAGGCCGCCAGGAGGCCCCAAGGAGGCCCCTCAAGAGGCCCCAGGAGACCCCCAAGAGGCCCAAAGGAGGCCCCGAGAAGCCCCAAATCGGCCCCCAAAATGCTTCGAACCTGCTTCCAGGAGGCCCCCGACAGGTTCAGAGGCTCCCGAGAAGCTACGTCAAACTCCCAGCGAGCGGCCGGACGAGGCCCCCCACAAAATCACAAGAGGGTTCCAGTATTTGTATCCTTCAGCGCTCTCTGGCCTTCTTCCCCCTGCCCCCTTCCCTGCGACTTTCGTTGACTCAAGCTCGCCTCCTAGCTAGAACCTAAGCGCGCGCGAAGCGCGCGCGTGGTATGCATGTATGTATGTATGTATGTATGTATGTATGTACGGATGGATGGATGGATGGATGGATGGATGGATGGATGTATGTATGTATGGATGGATGGATGTATGTATATATGTATGTATGTGTGTCTATGTACGTATGTATGCATGCATGCATGCCTGCATGTATGTATGTATGTATGTATGTATGTATGTGTACTTATACATGTATGTATGTATGTATGTATGTATGTATGTTTGTATGTGTGTATGTGATTATGTAATTCTGTATGTATTCATGTACGAATGGATGGATAGATGGATGTGTGTACGTGTGTCTGTATGTATGTATGCATGTATGTATGTATGTATGTATGTATGTTATGTCTGACTGCCTGTCTTTATGTACGTATGTATGCATGTATGTATGTAAGTAGGTATGCAATTATGTAGTTGTGTCCGTGTACGTGTTTGTATGTTTGTATGTATTTGTGAACGCATGTATGTACGTACGTAAGTGTGTATGTAGGTGTGTACGTATGCATGTAAATATGTATGTATGTATGTGAAATATATACGTATGTACGTACGTATGCATACATGCATGCATGCATATTTGTATGTAGGGATGAATGTATGTATGTATGCATGCTGACATTCATACATATATATGTGTATATGTATGTATGTATGTATGTATGTATGTATGTATGTATGTGTTGATGTGTTAATGGATGTGTGGATGGATGGATGGATGGATGGATGGATGGATGGAGGGATGGATGGATGGATGTGTATATCTGCATATATGTATATATGTAGTGTTTGAATAATGGGGTACTCCTGGAGCCTGGGCCGTCTCTCGTCTGAAACGCTTCGGTGCCAAAGGGTTGTGAAGCTAACGACGGCTTTTCATACGACATGCTCTGATCCTTAAACTTACGGCTCAAGTTTTTTCAGGGTCCAATGTCCTTGCAAGGAGCCCGACGCCTCCTTCTTGCGGCCATCACCGGTGCGTGGCTGGCCCCTTCGCCGCTGCGAGTCTGATTGGGCGCGCCAGGCGACATCCTTCGGGCGCCGTTCTGCGCCGTCCTTGCCCCGGCGCCCTGGCGGAACGCGAGCTGCCCGGGGGTGTGCCCAGACATCGTGAAGGTGCTGGGGGAGCTCTGGTCGCAGCGTGCCGCGCGAGAGCGCCAGCTTTCAGCGGCGGAGGGGCTGTCGGAGGGCGTCCGAGGCGGGGTGCCGTGGTACGTGGGGATGGCGACGGCCATCGCCGGTAGTCTCTCCTTCTACGCCAACGTGGTGATTGGGTGCGTGTGCTCGTTCGTGGTCTCCTTCTCGGCAGCCGACGGCGACGTGTACCCTCGGGACCTCTCCGTGCCAGGGGATCTGCAGGCGTGGCGTGTGTCTGACGCAGAAGGCGGGGTGACCGGCACCGTGTACTGCCGAGGGCCTGCTGCTGTGTCTCGCCACGCCTTCGGCGCTGGGCGCGAGAAGGGGTCGCAGGACGTGCCGCTCTGCCTCCGCGCCAAGGGCGCGGCCGACGAGGAGGAGTGGGAAGAAAGGGGAGGTGGAGACTCGCTAGCTGTCCGTTCGCCGCCAGCTGCCGTGAGTGACAAGGTTTGGAGGATCTCGTACTCATCCGACCAGGCTTTCGCTCGTGGCGCCGAGTGCCCACCAGACGTTGACGGTCAGCACTTCACTCTCGTCAAGAGGGGGGACGTTGTCACGATGACGGTGGGTGCTCCAGGTGGTGTGGTGCAGTGTTACTCCGTCTCCGCCGATGCCATTGCGGTGGATGCCGACACGGACCTTCCCGGTGGTGCAGTGGAATAAGTGTCCGCCTTCGTGGCTTTGTTGAGGGCGTCGAGCTGATGCAGCATCATGATCATATGGACTCACCTCTGGGGGGAGAACCCTCCGTGCTCTGGCGTCTGGAGGAGATTGCTCGCAGTGGTGAGGGGGGTCCCAGTCGGCGATATTACAACTGGGCTCACCAACTCGATGCGGGAGGTGACCGCTCCATGCCTGAACATTTCTGCCGCTTGACGGTCCTCGAGGTGGCGGCGGAGGCCGATCAGCTCACCATCCCCATCTTGGGGTCGTGTGAGGCGCTCGGGAGGCGCGTCATGCTGAGCGAGCAGGCGTGCCTCAACTCGCCTGGCAGCCCCGACTACACCGGGGCCGACAACTTCACGGGGTGGGGACCTGGGCGGGGCAAAGTTTTGGTCGCACCTACTCTTGTCAAGCACGCAGCAGGGATGGCCCGCGACAAGGCATCAGTTTGGAAGGAGCTTCGGAAGCACAACGAGGAGTTACGTTTGAGGATGCCGCCAAAGGGCCCCATGAAGGAGGGCCAGGGCGGGGATCCTCCATGATGGACGCGCGCGCCCCCCCCCCCCCCCCCCACCCCACCGCCTGAAAGGGGGGCCGAGATCCAGGGCGCTCCCGGCCTCTCAGCTGGGTTTTCTTGCTGGCGTTTGTGCCGAAGAGCGTGACGTTCCGCGAGAGCTTCTTCCTCTACCTTACGTGCCTCAGGAGCCCGCTGCAGGCGCTCATATTTCTCGCGGTGTTCGGCGCCGCGTCCAGGCTCGGCGTCGGCTCGCGGATGAGGTGAATGAGAGCATCTGGGCTCTCCACTGGCTCGCTGGTTCTTCTGCGACCAACGCGAAGTTTTCGTCGCTGGGCTAGCGCGCCACACCTGTATGACACCATTAACTCCCTCCGGCCGCCATCCGAGGTGGCCTCTGGCGAGGAAGCCATGCGCGCGCTTCTCGGGAGTAGAGTCCCCTATGCCGGGGACGATGACTTGACAGTGGTACCCTACGGCCGCGCCCTGGTGTCGATCCCTGGTGATGGGCGGGCCCCCGTCCCGCTGACCGAGGTGCTGCCGCCAGACGCCGCAAAGATGATCGTAGATTTTGACGCCCACCTGCTCAGGGACGACAACCAGCGGGGGGCGGAGGTGGAGCGGGGTCTCGAGCACATTGGGTCCTACATGGACCCTCGGCTTCGCTTCAGCCGACGCAGTTTTATCAATTTCATTGGGGACCGGTTCAGAGGTGGGCTACTCGCTTGGCGACGAGCCGACCAGGTTCGAGGCAGGATCCCGGTATTCTTTGTACGGAAGAAGTCGGGCAAACAGCGTCTCGTCGTTGATTGTAGGCGCGCCAATGCCCGTTTCCGAGAGTGCCCACACGTGCCGATGGGTTCGGGGTCTCTTTGGACCGACGTCGCGATGGACACGGGCACTGATATGTATCTCTCTCTAAGCGACGTGAAGGGCTATTTTTTGCGTGCTGGCTGCCACCAGGGCTCGAGAATTTCTTCTGCCTTCCTGACATTACTGGTGATGAGTTGAAGTCGATTGCCAATGGTGACCCCACCTTTGGCTACCTCTGGAGCGCCGACGCCGTCGCGCCCGCGATGAGTGATGCCGATGGGCTGGACGTGGAGTTTCTTCTTCGCGCAGGTCTTGCACGCGCACCAGGTCAGCCAGATCAGGGACTGGGCCCCGGGCGCGGTCATGTAGGATTGCGCGCCGCCGCCCCCTTTCCGGGCGGGCCCCGAGCTGGCGCTGCCGCACTGCGACAACTTCGTGGCGGTTGCGCCCTCCAAGGCTCAGGCCGATGCCCTCCGCGAGGACTGCAAGCGGAGGCTTGCCTCGCTCGGTTTTGAGGTCCATGAGGAGGAAGCTGCGCGGCGCTGGGCCGAGTCCTTGGGGTTCGCGATCGACGGATTGACGGGCGAGCATCGCCCTAGCCCCACCAAGGCCTGCCAGGTCTGCCGCCGCTTGAGCCGCCAGCGACCCTTGCTCAGCGGTCGCCAGTTGGAGCGGCTCTTGGGCCACGCCACCTTCCAGCTCCTGGGGCGCAGGCCGCTGCTCTCGTTTTTCCGCAGCTGTTACACTTTCGTGCAGTGCCGCTACCTCCGACCGCGGCGGCTTTGGCGATCTGCTGCCGAGGAGCTCCGCGCGGCTGCTGCCATGTTGCCCTTCGCGAGGGCGAACGCGCGGCGGCCCTGGGCGTCCGAGGTAGAGGTGTTCGACGCCAGCCCAGCGGGGTGCTGCATTCTGTCCGCGTCGTTGCCGGAGGAGGTGGTCTTGGAGATCGGGAAGACTGATGAGCGCTGGCGTTGCGCGTTTCATTATTAGCAACCTGGAGGACCGCGTGAGCATGCACTTCGGACGGCTCCTCATGTCGAGGAGTGCTTCTCCAACGTTGAGACCGTGCTCCCCCGCGACTGGTCTAGACGGCGCTGGCAACCCGCGCAGGACTTTCCAGAGGTCCCGACGTCCATCTTCAAGGATCTCGAGTGGCGGGAGTGCGTTGCCGGGCGCTGGAGGGACGAGGAGCACCTTGCGATGCTGGAGGGCCGCGCGGGGCGGATCTCTGCGCGGCGCACCTATCGGTCGGTGGTCAACCGCGGCATGCGGCATCTCAAGTTAGGTGACAACTTGGGGATGGTCCTCGCCATGTCCAAGGGGCGTGCTGACAATTTTGGCCTGCTGATGTTGCGCAGAAAAAATGCAGCCCTCACCGTCGCCATGGACATGACGGTTCGTTGGCGATGGATTCCCTCAGAGATCAATGTCGTCGGCGCCGCCTCCCGCCGCTATCTCACCGGCGCCCACCGCAGCCGCGAGCGTTGGCTTGCGCGTCTCAAGTTTCATCGAGGCGCGGGCGCTGGCCCACTGGCTGCGGGGATCGCGGTGGATGAGGCGGCTGCCCCCCCCGAGCCAACTCAGGGGATCCCATGGCGAGGCATCTGCTGGTCGCCTGCTGGGGCCCGCCGGCGGCCGCCCAGCTGCGGCAGGGGGTCGCCAGCTCCAGGAGGAGCTCGAATTGAGAGGGATCTTGGTGAGCCTCCTCGAGATGAAGTCGGTCGGAAAGCAGTCGATCCTCCGCTACCTCCAGAAGCGCGGGAGGTTATTGCACTTCGTGGTCGACCACGGCTTCGACTTCAGCACGGGCGAGGACGTGGGCGAGGCGCTGGTGCAGCTGACCAAGCTCCTATACTTGGATGGACGGCAGGTCGGCCAGGGCGAGAAGCTGCTCGCCGCCGCGAAGCTGGGCGTCCACTGGCTCTCCAAGGGAGGGCAGGGCGACCTGCCTCGCGCGGCCCGCGCCCCGCGCGGGTCCCGCAAGGCAGCGCTGGTCGCCTGCCGCTTCCGGCTGCCGCATGCGCGGGTGGCGGGGGGCGATGCCCGGGCGCGGGAGGTTCGAGAGCGCCCAGGGGGGGGTGGTGATGCACGAGGCGTACCTGCGCACTGGCGAGGCGACGCGGCTCCAGGCCGGGGGTCTCGCCCCGCTGGTGAGCGGGCGCCGCAGCCGCGCGCGCGGCGCGCTCATCCTCGACTCGGGCGCCAGCATCCCCACCAAGACGAGCGTGCTGGGCGACGCAGTCAGGCTGGCGGATTGGGACTTCCCGACGGCCCCGGCGCTGCTGCTGCTAAAGGCCCAGCGCTCCCCACACGAGCCGCTGTTCGTGACGGCGCCCAGGGGCTTCAGGAGGTTCCTCAACCAGGCCCCTTCCGACCTCGGGCTCGCGAACTGGAACCTCACCAGCTGCCAGCTTCGCCACAGCGGCCCCCGCCGACATGCTCGCTCCGTTCGTCGATTGCTCCCAGACCTCGTGAAGCGCGGCAGGTGGGCCACCATCTTGTCGGTGAGGAGGTGCGAGAGGCGCAGTGCGATGCAAAAAACCTTGGCCAGCAGTCCCAAGAATATCCTGGACTCCGCCGCGGCTGCCGAATCCTCCATCGAGGGTGCTCCCCGCGGGCAGCCGTGCCGACTGCTGCGACCGCCCCGTTCCTGAAACGGAGATGGGCCGTCGAGATCTTCTCAGGATCTGGGCAGCTGGCGCGCGGGCTGGCGAGGGCCGGTATCCCCGCCGAGGCCTACGACGTCGCCGATGGACCCAGTGGCGACCTCCTTCGGCCGGAGGTAGTGAGGCACCTTCGAGAAAAAAATCGGTCATGTTCTTTCTGTTTCATGTGGTTAGGAGTTCCTTGTAACACCTTTTCCCGGGCCACGGATTGGCCGAATGGGCCACGCCCCCTCCGTTCTAACACTCATATTTGTACGGCCTTCCTGAGCTTGATGCGAAGCAGGATGCACGCGTACAGGCTGCAAACATATTGGTGCGCAGTGTGTGTAGTCCCGCACGTGAATGTATTAAACACACTATCCCCTGGGTGATTGAGAACCCCTGCGCGTCTCGTCTGTGGTTTTTGAGCGAGATGCGACACCTTGAGAAGAGCGCGTCTTCCGTTGTTTTAGACTACTGCATGTATGGAATGCCTTGGAGGAAATGTACTCGTTTCCTCGGCATGCTCCGAGGAATAGAATCGCGGGAGCGCCGATGCACAAGGAGAGTTTGTCGGCGCACTGGCCACCGCCACCAGGCCCTGGAAGGCAAGGGCGCCTCAGGGGTGTTCTGGACCCGGCGAGCAGAGCCATATCCCACGTTTCTTTGTAATGCTATCTCCACCTCTGTCGTCGCATCCTTCCGTCATCTCCCCCATTAGAACAGCTCTCTGGTGCTGGGGACGGGTTGTGGGCCCTCGCAGTTTTTGGCCTTTCTCACGTGTCTGACTCGTTCGGTCCCAGTCTTTAGGCAGGCGATGCTCCCAAGGTAGCATCTCCATACGATTCCAGTTGTTCTGGTCTTGGCGTAAAGGAGTGCTTGAATAATGGGGTGCTCCTGGAGCCTGGGCCGTCTCTCGTCTGAAACGCTTCGGTGCCAAAGGGTTTTGAAGCTAACGGCGGCTTTTCATACGACATGTTCTGGCCCATAAGCTTACGGCTCAAGTTTTTTTCAGGGTCTACCTGCCT